CTCGTGGAGCGCCAAGTGCTAGGTTGGAGAGGCTGTAGAGTGCTCTTGGGGCACAGAAGAGTGGCAGCTGAGTCCCCTTGGGGGAACATTGGTAAAGTTTTATAGAAGAAATGGTGCTTTAGTTGGGTTTTGAAAAATGAGTAGAAATGACGTAGAAGAGGTGTTTTTAACCTGCACCCACTGATTTCTAAGGAGTAGATGGATAGAATTCAGCAGGCCTATGACATGGGTAGAGAACAAAACCTTTTCTTTTCTCTAACTTTGAACCATTATTTATCACTCCCTTCAATTATAAACATAGATTATAAATCACAGCAACATTCACAGTACCCGTGACTGTATCACCAATAGAAATCACAGCCATCATATCATATCCATATAAGACATTGTTGTAGGTTTTTCAAAATATCCTTTAGGCTCAACATTGCCATAGGAGTAGCTTCACTATTGCACTTTATCAATGAATTAATAAGAAGCACACATTATCATACCAGAAACTTTTTAATATTTAATTGATTTTAATATCTTGGTAATTTAATTTCCATATAAATTGGTTTCCTTTGTCATTTGACATGTTTTATTTTATGCACACTTAAGTGCATTATTTCAGAAGCATCCGTAAGATTTATCTCTATGGCAAACTGGCAATGGGATACAAGACACAGCAAAGTTTAAGAACCCTGAATGGGGAGGAGTTTGGGGAAAAGCAGGAAAAGGAAACACTTCTCTATGACTTTAAGCATTTCATTTTGATGCTTCAAATCACACAATGTTTCTTTAAAACAAATGTTGATATGTATCAAGAAAAAACATGTAGGTAACAATTTTGCAAAATATAGTGGGCAATATGTGCTCACCATATTTTCATAAGGACATGTTCCTAGGAAACAAACCTATTAAGCATATTAACAGTGCATACAGAATTTCTGAGACTAACAAAAATGGTCCCTCCTGATATCAGCTTCTGCAGCAGATTGTGGTAGGATAAAGGCCAAGGAAAGATGCCTGAAATACTTATTTGCTACTTTTATTTGCATTGGTAGGATGCTACAGACAATTAAAATCAACCAACATTTGCCTTACAAGCATTTCAATGGTTGTAACAGACGCTGGAAATATAGAATATGCTAAGCTGCTATCAAACATTAACGGAGGCAGCTGGTAGTTGTGGAAAGAACACTTGACCAGGGGTGCATAGCTTTAGGTCACAGCCTCAAGTCTGACATTAATATTTGTGGCACCTTGTGCATGTTTCATTGTTGGAGATAATGACTCTTGTTTTAACTTATAAGTTTGCTCTGAGGATCAAATGAGTATGTTGAGATGATTAGAAAGGTTTGAAACATAATATGTATATTATTATTATGAAAATAGTGAAATACCACCATAATTACATTTTATGTCATATAGAAACAACAGTGAAATTTTATTATATCCTTGCATTATAAAATATATTGAAGGTATAACTTTATAGAGAAATAGAATTGAAAAATAGATCTGTATGTGTAAAATACAAGATGCAAATGTATCAGGCAAATCTATCTATAACACAGGAGCTAAATTCCTATAAGACTGTAGACAATAAAACATAAGTGACTAGATGATTCCATAATACAATCAATTCCCTATATCTGGCATCCAAGCTTTCAAATATGACCTGTAGCACAAGATAGCAATGAACTTATCTGTTATTTATATTTAGTGGCACTAAGATCACAAATACATACACATTTCATTAATGAAGCATATTCAATATTAAAATTTAGATAAGTTTCTCCAAATAAGCTTCTTCTTCAGAGGAATCATGCAAGCAAATATTGACAAATATTATAAACAATAGGCGAAAATGCAGATCTTGTTTTTCCCCCCTTAAAAAAACCCTATTCTTATTATGTTTTTCATTATAATCTAGCAGAGGAGGATTTAAGTGCCAGCCTGGGCCTTCCATTCTCTAGGTCAATATTAAAGTTTATTTCTATGGTAAAATACACCTTTTACATTCTGGGTGTTATCATGTAAACCAAACAAAGAGAACTGCATTCCAATCCTCTCCATTACCACAAAAGCATACAAGTTACTAACCAGAACATTCTTCCATTTTTTGTTTGAAGTCTTTTTCATTCTCATGCATGCTGAGAAACATTCTTAAGCCAAGGCTATTGAAATTATACCTGTGAGGCTTTTATTTTATATAAATTATATAAGCCAAATGGTCCAAAATACTAACCCTTAACTGCCAATTCAAATAGTCCCTAACCCTCAATCATGTGCTAAAAGAGACAAATGAGCTATATTTGAGTTCTGAAACTAATACCTCTGGATAAAAAGGGTGGGGAAGCAAAGCTTAATTTGCATCTGGGAAAGACACAGTTAATATGAATGAGAGAGAAATGTAGAACACTATTCTAACTTGCTTATGTTCATTTCTTCCCAATGAACACCTGCAGGAAGATACACAGACATTTTTGGGCTGACCCACGTGGACTGAAATGACCGAACATTTTAAAATCAGAGAAGCGTGGCTGTGTGGTATAGTGAGTGCTTAGTGCCTGGCATGGTTGAAGCCATAGATTTTACCTTCAGGACCACCAGCAAACAAACAAAATTGGGAGACACAAAATCCAAAGAACTCTCTTTACCTCCTATGCAGTGTATGCACACCCATGATGACCAACATAAGATTAAAAGTACTTAAAATTTTTGTAGTATAAATTATAAATTAATGGAACCTGCTTCAAATAGACCCACAAAGACACACCACCAAGATACAAGCAACAAAGCAAGACAGACACCTGATAAAAATACTCAGAAGTTCCCAAACTGAAAAAATTGCATCCTGAACACCAAAGTGTATGATGGATTTAGGAGTGAACAGATTTATGTCTTATGACTGATGCAGGTGAGCAAAATAGGGTTCAGAACAGAGAACACAGATGCATAAATGACGGGTTTAAGGAGCTAAGTGAATGAGGTTCAAGCCCTACCACCTAAATTTCATCCTAAAGTCCTAAAAATTAAAGCTGAATGGGTTCAATCTTTTCTAAGGTTGTCCTTTCGGTGGACAAAGCTTTGATCAACAGTCTCAGTCTTGCCAGGTGGCTTCAGGGACTCTGCCCCTCAGTAGTTCCCCAATATCATCCTTTCTTTTTCCATTCTCTTGGGTGAGAAAGGTTTTGTTTACTTCATGGGAGCCCAAATTTATGAGGTGCTGAGAAATAGGAGTGTGAGGCCCTTCAAGTTGTTCTCCTAGATTTAACACAGCAAAGCAAGCCAAAGCAGGGTCCCGGCATTGGTTAACACATTTGCTCTGTGAAGCCTTTTTGTTACAGGATCCAAACAGATGCCCAAATAAAAGCAAAAACAAAGCAATAACTAAAAATGTCTTCCCCCGATCCCCCCAAATAGCCCATCCCTTTCTAAGTCCAGGCTCCTGAATGCATAAGAAACTGTGTAGCCTTGACCAGAGGAGCACCCCCTCCTCAGCTGGAGGCAGCATTCAGAAAGAATAGATTTTTTTCCAGCTTCTGATAGTCTGAGACATTGTGCCTGTCACTCAGGGTGAGCAAAATAGGGTGCAGAACAGAGAATGGAGATGTATAATAAAAGATGTAAGAGAATGAGAAGAGTACACAAAGTAGAGAGACAGTAGTGATTGATACCAAGCCTAATCCTGGGATGGGCCATTCTCCCTGTGCCTATAAGAAGCTTCTCAGCTATTTTAATTATAAATATTTATATCCACGGAAGCAAATTCAGAAGGATTTATATCCCAGGGGAGTGCAGATCAATAGATCTGAGCAAACCTCATCTCTAGGCTGACCACTTAACACTGTTATCACCGATTAGGGCTGCTTGGCCCTCCGGGAGGGTGTCAGTTCCCCTCTTGTCCTCCATAGGTCCACCCCATTCTTGGCCCCAAGAGGAAATCAATATCAGGATGCAAGGATCGATGTCCAGGACATCTGCTTGGCTGCAGTGGCTCACCTTAGGATCGCAGTTTGGTTAGCCCTTGTCGATCCGGCAACCCACCCTCCCCAACGCATCCTCCCAGAACTGTGGGTTTCCCGATTTTGATCTTTAGTTCATTAACTGAAATCAGCCAAAATGCTGCCGACTCTTTTTGCGTAAGAAAAAAAAAAAAAAGACTTGGTTATTATTTGCCTCACTTTCCAAAAGTGAAGAAACTTACCAGACCTCAAGGATTGGGTCAGAGTCGATTTCTTGCCTCATGGCCAGGGCTTGCTTCCTGCTGCCGACTGGGAGCGACTGGAGCTGGCTGGATTACTGTTCCAGGTTTGTCTGCAGCTCCCTATGCTTGGTCTGCAGTTGATAGATCCTCTGCTCCTGAAGCATCCAGCTATTGACCCGCCCAGGGAAAGAAAGAAAAAAATGGGAAAAAAATCAATTAATACTAAACAGCTTAACAAAACCCTGCATAGCATAGGCCTGAAGCTTACAGGGTAGGAGTTGGGGTGGTCTCAGTGGCAACAGTGGTTATGGGGACAGGCTCAGCCAGCTAGAAAAGCTGATGTTCCAGGGACAGGAAGCCAATATGGTAGGCGTGAACACACACGCATTCTCTCTCTCTCTCTCTCTCTCTCTCTCTCTCTCTCTCTCTCTCTCTCTCTTTCACAGCAGCTTTAGTCTGGGAGCAGAGAGGACAGTTGCAGGTACATATTCATTGTGAACTGGTGGAGAGTGACACAATCACCAAAACAGAAGGGCTGTGATCCAACTCATAGAGCAAATGGATGTTTTTCAGTTTTGATTTTTTTCTCTCTTCCTCTTTTTGGAGGGAGTGGAAGGGGAGGCGATACTGTTTTGTTCTGAAAAGGTAATACTGTTTTACGTGTTACAGGAGAGTGAGCCCAGGTATTTCTTCGTGCGTCTCCCGATCACACCACCACATGCACACACACGAAGCATTTTTAAGGGGGGGGGACAAGGAAATGGGGGAGCACCATACCTCAGCTGCCAGGCCCTCTGTCTTCTGCAGGAGCTGGCTTTGAAGGCGTGGGATTTTTGCATCCCGCCGTTCCAGCTGTAAAGAGTTTACATAGGGAGGGAGCAAGGAAGGATCATGAATGTCAACCAATGAGCAATTAGCATGACAAGACTAAAGTATTGATCCACTAAAGCTCACGGCTCTGCTGTAGCCCCAGAGCTAGAGCGGCTCCCCTGTCACTAACAGTGCATTTCGGAAGCCTGTGCTATAGGGCTACTTTTTTTTGTAGCCCTGATTCCCTTCTTGGGGATGGGGAAGGTAGCACCCTCATGCTGCCCGTCAGGATCATCTCCATCCCTGGTACGAAGCTGCCAAGAAGAAAATAAAGAAGGTAAAGATTTTGGTTGTCCTGTTTCATTCATTTTTTAAAAAATGCAGCTCCCTCCTGATGGCACCAGGCATTTCTATGTATTGATTGGAGAGAGGCTAGGGCGAAATCCCGGCCTGACAGCTGGGGCTGGAACTTGTGTGGCTTTCCATTTTGCACGGCCAGAAGCAAAGTGCCTTCTACAGAACCAAACTCCTGCTCAATCCAAACACATCCTTCATGGGCATATTTTACTCATTTTAAACTTGTGGGCCAAGATGGGAGGAGGGAATATGCTGTTTCACTGAAGAGACACCCTTATTCCTAGGTGTAAGTCTACAAGACAACAAAAGAGACAATGATGGAGTTTGCAGCTCGGCAGATATGGTGTTTAGATGGACACTAGCCAGGTGATGTTGCCCCTGTAATGTTCTCCATTCTCACCACCGATTCCTTTCTTTGGCCCCCTCCACCACATGCATGCCAAACTTTTCTTCATCATTTCTGCTACTCCCCACCCCATCTCTCCCATGCCTTCACCAATTCTTAAATTGTTTTTCCAAGGTCTTTCCACACCTTTTTAAAAAGACCTAGTAGCATTCCATTTCCACAAAATCTCCCAAGTAGTGGTAACCGTGTGCTCTGTGAGCTTCTACTTGAGCCCAAATCTCCCCTTACAATAGGGACATAATGATGAACCATACAGATGTGGCTTGTTCACACAAAGAGCTTATAGAATAGTGGAATGAATAAGCCCCTCATTATGATCATCCCTCCATCCATATGCCCACCCCCTCATCTATTTGTTGATTTGTTCAATTGATGTTTATCAAGAACTTGTCTATTGTCAGGAATTACCCTTAGGTAAAAAGGTAAGGCAGAGACATGAGTGCTTGCCTAATAATCATTTTTCTCCTTTTCTTCCCAGGTACACAGAGTAATCTTCATTTCCCAGCTGTTTTGCATGGGGGCAATTAGATCTGATTCGATCTGACCAATAGAATGTGGGTGAAAGAGTAGTGTGCCTGGCCTGGGTGATTAAAAACTTCCCGCATAATCCTTCATTTCTTTCCCTTCCAATGTGACCTTGTTGGTAACATATTGGTGACAGGGATGCATCGCAACCTGGGTTTCTGGGAATCCAATTGGAGAAAAGTGGCATGACTCACTTTAGAATATGGCAAGAGTAATTAATTTGTAGAGTGTTGAATGATGGTGATTTTAGGATTGTTGATGTCAATGTGAGCTTAGCAGCTAGTGTTAATTTTACTGACTAATAAAAACAGTGCACAAAAACATACATGACCCTTGCTTTCACGTAGAGTTTACAATCTACTGGGTGAGAGACATGCTAAAAAAAAATAATTATAAAAATAAATATAAGTCACGGTTGTGATAAGCACAATAAAGGAGAGGTGTCTGGGGCAATATACACACATGTCAGAGGAAACAGGCCTAGATGACTGCCATTGTGTACTTATACTGAGATCTGGAATGGTGAGTAAACTGGGGGTGTTCCAGGAAGAGAGGGCAGAGTGTGGCAGGTTGCTATGATAAGGAAGAGTTAGGTACAATCTAGAATCTAAAAGAACCCTAGACTACAGAGAGTAGACTACAGAGAACGTGAAGGGATATAACTGCAACATAAGAGTGGAGAAAGAAGCAAGGCCAAGTCCATCCCGGGCCTTAGAGGTTATAGATTTCAGAATCTGTCTTAAGACCATTGGGCAGCTATTCAAGATTTTATGCGAGGTTAATAAACAAATCACACTTGTATTTTGAAAAGGTCTCGCTGGCTGTAGCATGAAGAATGAGTTGACAGTTTCATTTCCACCCATATGGTAGACCAGATAACCTCAAAACCCTTATACTCCAAATGTTAAGATATTCTGAATAAAATAGAACACGCATTCTTTTAAATAAAGGGCTAAATTTGCAAGTAGGGCACTCCCTGAGCACCAGATCCAAAGAGAGAACTGAAATGAGGGCAGGAAGCCCCGGGAACTTATCTGCCTTGAGGAGCTTGGCCCAATCTCAGTGACTGCAGGAATTGGCTTTTAGCACCCATCTGGGGACAGGGGCCCGTGGGAGTTAATAAGTTGGAACTGAGATCTCCACACAACATTGGGACTCTTGGCCTAGGGAAAAATAACCCATCTGTGGTCACAACAGGGTTTGTCTTTTCTTGGCCCATAAGTCTCCCCCCGAGAATTTGTGACTAAGACTTATAGAGTTTGGGGATTTATATTTATAATCCACCAAGTTCAGAAACCTCTAAGCTGAAATATTAAAATCAAACTTAGTCTCAGTCCAGTAATATCACTATGGCATTTGGCAGGAGAAAACCTCAAAATACTCTGGAGAGCCACACCTTTATGTGGGTCACCTATGATTCTTTTTTTTTTTTTTTTTAATTTTTAATATTTATTTTTTAGTTCTCGGCGGACACAACATCTTTGTTGGTATGTGGTGCTGAGGATCGAACCCGGGCCGCACGCATGCCAGGCGAGCGCGCTACCGCTTGAGCCACATCCCCAGCCCACCTATGATTCTTGATGACAAAGGATGGCTGAGGCTAGACCCACGTGCTCCAAAATCAAAACCAGTGAGTGCTACGCAAAGCAAACAGCAGAATGAGGCTTCTGAGAATTTCAGGTGATAGAATAGTCTGATAGAAACTGCCAAAAGTATGTCTAACACTATTAAAGACATAAAAGAAGGTACCAAAACCATGCAAAAATAATAATGGATTATGAAAAAAGATAATAAACTGAAATGGATGCGAATAATGCAGCCAAATCAAGAATGTATCTTACCAAACATACAGGACTCTTGGTATATATCAAGATTTAGGAAGCAATCATATTCTTTCCCCCTTTTCATTCCTTATGTTAAATATGTGATTTTTATAGGACAAACTTCTCAGCTGCTCTGTTAGTGACATCAAATATATAAGGACATAATGACTGCTCTAGAGACAGGAAACATTTTCCATATTTAAAACTGATGGTCAGCTCATAAGACATTCTCTCTGTTATGATTGTTGAAATGTCTCATAAAGGAAAATACCATCTCAGTGTGATTTCTTTGCTTCTTTGCACTCTTCAGCTCCATGTTCTCTTTCCAGCTGGGCACAAATTGAGGACACTGGCCTTTTCAATGGTGGACAAAGAGACATAATGGGAGCGAGGTGGCAAACATCAAAGGAAAGCTCAAAATAAGGAAGGCTCATTATTTTATCAGAAACTTTTTTTTCCCTTTCTACTGTTTAAAACATTATTCCTATGCTTCATAAAAGAAGTAGGAAGAAGTGAGGTACTGACATCAAGAGGTTACCTGATCAGCCTGAGCTGGTGTTCCGGATGAACCAAATCCCAGCCCTGGTTCAGGTTGAAGTGAGTTTTTTTTTTTTTTTTTTTTAAATATTGGAGAGTCTTAGATGAAACTACAGGATTCCAAGGTTAGAAGAAATCAAGGTGACTTCACTCACATCTGCCTTGTGAGACATTGATTATCATTGCCATCGTCACTATCTTTTACTGAAGTTCAACTCTCTGCCAGATTGCGTGCTAGCTATTTCATTAACAGAAAACTTCTACAGAATGGGCATTGATATCCTAATTTATTGGATGAAAAATGACTCCAATGTTCCCAATTTATAAAAGAGCCAGGGGTAGGATAAACACCCCAGCTTTCTTTAGCAGATTTTAAACAGAGGCAAAGTATTCAGAGCCCTAAGCAGAAGAGGAGCTGACAGAGAACTTAAGTGTGTAGCTTCAAAGCAAGCTGAGTTCTGAGCAGCCAACAAGACACAACTGAGCTCAACTATATTCATTTCTCTCCCGATGGAGAACGCAGATCTATCCAAGTGGGAGAGAGATTTTAAATAGCAATGGTGTATAGAGTCTACTGTACCATGGAGAGCTGTTTGTGACATCAGTTTTTTTCTCACTTAACACTGACATCCCATCCATCCACAAGAACAGCTGTTGATCCTTTCTGATGTATTAAGTCTGTTCCCACCACTACCCCAAATTCATCCTGGTCCATCATATCATGCCCCAGAAACTTCCTAATGGGCCTTCCTTCCTCCACTCTGGCACCTCAACATCAATCCTTCTCACAGTAGCCAGGTGATCTTTTACAAATGAAACCAGACAATGTCACTTCCTTGCTTAAAACTCTCCAAGGGTTTCCCATTACACTTTGACTAAAATTCCACTTCTTGGTCAAGGTCTGCCTGGCCCTACAGGTTCTGGCCAGTACCCCTTGACTGGAGTCTCTGGGCCACCTTTCTGATCTGGAAACACTCCAGGGCCCAGGTGTGTTAGGTGCTCACAGCTCTCTCTTGCCTGGAGTGCTCTGTCCCCAAGTCTTCACTTGACTGCTCCTGTTGTCCTTTAGGCATTGGCTCAAACATCACCTTTTTAGAGCCTCCTGCCTCAGGCCAATCTCTATCATCTACCCCTTTGTTATCTTGCTTTTAAACACCACATCTCCATCACCAATCATGGTGCCTGGCATGTGGACACTCAACAGTATTTACAAAATGAATACTTGGGGTTCATAACATCTTTGATACCTGTTATCTTCCAAGACAGAGGAAAAATGAGATGCCTAATGATTAGGGAAACTTATTTTTAATAAGTAAGTCCTAGAAAGGAAGTCTTTAAGTCTGTTTTCTTAAGATAAACACATAAGGTGGCTCCTGGCAACCCCTGGCAATCCTTGGCTTGTAGTGGCAGCATTATGATTTCTGCCTCTGTGTCACAGGACCTCCCTCCTAGTCAGTGTACCCTCTTCTTTCCTATTAGGATGCCAGTTTTTGAGGCTTGAGACCCAACCAAATCCAACAACCAACTCTTAACTAATTATATCTGCAGAGACCAAATAAGGCCACATTCTGAGATTCTGGGTGGGTATGAACTTTTTTGGAACACTATTCAACCCACTACACATGGGCAGTATCAACTGCAAATGCCTCTCCTTCCTGTTCTTTCTAAGTTTCCTTATGCTCTTTGAGAGAGCAGCATCCTATTTATTTTCTCCTCACATTTTGTTCTCTTCCCTGTCTGTGACTCATGTCCACTGGTTGTTATGCCTGTCCTTCCCTCCAATAGGAATACTTCTGTTAACTGTCTGTTTGGAGGAATCACACACACCCACACATATTACCCATCTGCAATGTAGATGCAATGTAATGGGTTTTCATTAGAAAGTTTTCTAGGATATGGAGCTGAGGAAGTACCAAATTTGGAGAATTAGATTCTGACTGGAAGTATAAAGGCAATGAGGCCATGGAATAAATAGCCAGTGATTCCAGGCTGTGGTAGAGGTCGACTGCAGGGACATTCATCAGTACCTGTAACAAATCACAGGGTTCCTATTAATAGTTACATAAGTAGGATTGTTTCAGTATAGGACTTGAGGTTTACAATTTTCATGATGTTCTTTCCTATACCAAAGGAAAGTATACTCAAAAGACTATGCCTTAGAATGTCTTGGTACGAATCCATTTTGAGCTCCATTCCAAAGGTTCCATTTCATATGCATATTCCTGAAGTATCCACAGCCATGGTCTTTATATAACAGCATCTCATGTTCATAGATGCCGTGGTCTTTGAAGATCTTTTCTGTCATTTATTTAATTTTTATGATTAGGTTATAGAAGAGAGGAGAACTCACATGGATGAAGAATCATTTGTGTTTTCTTTGTTTGTAATTTTAATTTGCTCTCTGTCTCCCTGACTATAGTTATAAACGGTTCCTACTATTATGAAGAGTCCCTATTGCTGAAAAAAAATTTTAATCTACTAGAGGAAATTTCTTCATCTCAGGACCCAATATCCTGTCTCGATTTCTTCTCCAGGAGAAAATTATAAAGATTCCATTACGATAAGCTGGTACATAGTAGGAATTCAATCAATATTGATTTCTTTTGGAGATTCAAAGCAGTATTTTGATTCAAGTTGTACTAGAGGAATAAACAGAAATAGTTATTTATTCAGGGAAAGGAAGGTAGTATTAGGACAACACCCAACAATGCACCACATGCACTAAAATAAATTGGGTGAATTAAAAAATGTACCAATGAAGTCATAAAATTATTAGAAGAAATAATGAAAGAATTTTTAAGAATAATATTTAAGTGAGAGATGTCTTTCCTAAATATGACACAAAACCTGGAAGTCATAACATAAGGACTCGTAAATTCATTACAATAAAAATAAAACCAATTTCTATATGGCAAAAATCATTATAAGC